AAAAGGCCGACAATGAGACTGATCCCGATAAAAAAGCGGAATTTATTATTTTAGCCAATAAAGCTGCCAAGAAGGCCGAAGAAATTAAACGAAAAGTCAAAAACAATCCTATCGCTCAATTAGCCAATTTTAATTATTTAGACGATTTGAGAGCATTAGCACAAGGCAATGTTCCGCCTAATGTTTGTCCCGACAGACAACCGGGTGGAGGCGGTTCAAACAGCAATAATAATAATGGTGGTGGAGGAAATGGAAGCGGCCAAACCCCCAATCCCTTGGAAGAACCAAAAAGTTTTCTCGAACAAAATAAAACCATGATAGTGGTCGCTCTGGGACTGGTCGGATTAATGCTTTATATTTTTCTCCAAAAAGATGATGAAGCCGAAGAAGACACCAAAGAGGATAAAAAATTCATGCGACAAATGGCTATGATGAAAATGATGAATGAAAAAAATAATTCTCCAAATGAAAAATAATGAAAAAGAAACAGCAACAACAATTATTAATCGTTCTTTTACTCTGCGGCCTTGGCTATTATTTTTTGGTTTATTTACCGGAAGAGGAAAATAGGAAAAAACAACAGTCAGTCCCACAAGCACTTCATAAAAGCCCAGAAGAATTACAAAAAGAAGCCGAAGAAGATGCCTGAGAAAAAGGAAGAATTTGAGAATTGCCGGCTAATAGTTGAGCCGATAGAATAGTAAACGGCAAAAAGAGTTCATTATTGGGTGAATACCAAAAATTTGCTAACCTTTTCCCTGATGGCGACCGGAACGAAAAGTTTTATTTTTCTCGGACTGCCCCTTACACTATTTATTTTCCGCCATCACTTCAAAGTTATTATGAAAAAGGCAAGGAATTGGGTCTAGAAGAATGTAAGAAGTTGGAAGGAGAAAAAGAATTGATTTTATCAGATGAAATTAACTCGTGAATTAAGCGGGCAGTAGAAAATCCAACACGAGGGGACTATGAGAAAGGATTAGGTAATAATGCCTTATTCTATGGTGCTCCTGGGACAGGCAAGACAGAAACGATGAGAAATCTTTGCGTGAAAGCCGACAAGTATCCATTAGTGGTTGTTGCGGGTTCTGACTTAACCCCTACCGAATCCGATCAATCAGCCGAAATACTTCCTTTACATAAATTTGCCTACACGATTAGCGAATTGGAATGAAGTTTGGTTAACGATTATGGATTTGAAAGAGAGGAAAATGGTGAGGTTCGTTATATTCTGTTTGTGGATGAAGCAAACCAAATTAGTAATAACTCGCTCATTTTTCAGTCTAACGGATTAAAGTTTTTAAAAGACTGCTTGGAGGGTGTAGATAAAGATGAGTGCAGCAAAAATCTGTGGGTATTTGCGACCAATCACAGAGACCAAGTAGAAAAAGCCACTTTTCGCAAAGGAAGATTAAGCAACCCGCTTGATTTTACTTGAAACTGAAAAGTATTTAAAGATTTTTGCGAGAACGCCGGTGTTGGCTTACCTGAAAGATGAAAAGAAAAGGGCCAATTAACTCCGGAGGATGAAAAGTGATTAGCCGAATTTAATATTGATGTTTTTAATCGTTATTTTTTAGGTAAGGATGATGATGTTGCCGAAAGAAAGGAATTTTGAAACTTATTTATTGAAAAAAATCCCGATGCTCGTTATATCCCTGAAAACAAACAAGAAAATCAGGAAGACGATAACGATGACGGCAGCGATAGCGAAGATGAAAAAGAAGTAGATATTGAAATTGGTGAGTTTTTGGAATTCTTTTGACACATTAAGGAAAAGTATTCAACCTCCTTCGATGGAGTTTATGAAAGCGTCCAGAAACCAACCATAGAAAAGGTTTTAGAAACCAGTTTAAATAGTCTGACTAGAATAATTAACGGCAAATTAGACGAAATAATAGAACAATTAGAGCCAGACGAAGACGATGGAGAAGAAAATATAATCGTTAAATTACAAGCCGAAGTTGAAATACTAAAAGACAGAGTAAACGAATTAAGAAACAGATAAGTCATGACAAAAAATCAAGAAATCACAAAATTAGAGAAAAAAGTGGGCTATGTCCAAGGCCTTATTGACGCCCAAAAACTAAAACTTGACAAGTATCAAAAAGCCTTATTGGCCCTAGCCCAACAAATTAACGAAATCAAATCTAAAAAAAATATCAAATAAATATGAATAATAAATCAAATAAAAACGGCCTAAAAGGCCTAATTAACAAATAACTATGGGAATCTGAAAAGGAATTTGCACTTGTATAGGTTGCGTGGCAGCAGTAGGCATCTGTGTTGCCAGTGCGGGAGCGGCTACTCCTTTTGTAAGTGCGGCAGCAGCCCCTTGATTAATCGGAGGAGGTGCGGTCGGTGGCTACTTAATAGGTGATAAAGCCGATAAAGAAAGTTTGGAAAGAGAAAAAATGCTGCTTCAAGACAAAAGATACAAAGATGCTGTCGGCGAAGTAGACAAGCAAGCACAACAGAACAATCAAAATAAGCATTTAATAGATGAAATTGTCGGCAAATTAAATGGTAGTAGACCGCGACAATCACACGAGACGGATGAATATCTAAAACAGCAGTTAGCGATCGCCCAAAATGGTTTAAAGGATGGTGAAAATAGGCTTAATAGATTAAAAAGCGATGTTGGCAAATTGAGAAAAGAACTTGGCGGCGGAGGAAGTTTAATGAGTCTTTTAGGCCTGGATAAATTATCCTTTGCTGACAAAGTGATAATTGCCGGTGGAATAGTGTTGGTGATTTTTTTGTTGAAGCGATAACAATAAATAGTAATCTGTCGCGGCTTTAGATTTAAAATTCTTTATATGGCTAGACCAAAAAAAGATATTTTTTGCTGCCGATGTAAGAAAAAAATAGAAAAGGGAGAAAAATACGAAAATGTGCGTTGAAGGGAAGAAGACGGCTCCAAAGGAACAGGTTATTGAGAAGGCAGTAATTATTGCCTCCCTTGCTATGAAAATAGAGAACGAGAACGCAAAGAGGCCAGAGAAAGAATCAAAGAACAAAGAGAAAAAGCACGAGAAAAATCAAAACAAGAAGCACTGGATAAATTTGAAACTCTAAGTAATGAATGCTTTCAAAAAACATTTGAATTAGGACTTAAAGTAGATGTTAGAAATGAAGAATTATCGGTGGATGATTATAGAAACATAAAAAAACTTTTAAAGAAACTAAACCGAGCAGAAAAGCAGAAGGAATTAGAGGACTCTCTAATTAAGGAGGAAATAAAAAAATTACAAACTTCCTTAAAAGAATTGGAAGAGCATGTATCTCCACGCACCCAAGACCAAGCCAGCAACGATAAAAGCCGCCAAAGAAAAGCCAAAAAAAAATGTCGCCACGAACAAATAGAACCTTACGAGGATGACCCCAATAATTATTATTGCTCCTATTGTTGAGACGATGAATCACCCGAATTTTTGGAAGTATTAAAGAAAAAAGGCATTAATCCGCAACCAAAAAATAATAATGACGATAATAACAACCAACAAAAACAACAACTTCAACAAGCCATCACCAATTTAGAAAACAAACCTAATCGCACCTCCGAGGAAGAAGAAGATTTAAATAACAAAAAAAAGCAATTAGCCGACTTAGAGAAAAAAAATAATCCCTCAACCACTAATAAGCCTACTAATTATACTCCCTGAATAATTGGTGGTGGTTGTTTATTATTAGGAGTGATTATTTTTTTAGTGTGAAATTCCCAGAGAAAAAAAACTGCTTAACGGCTTATTTTTAAAATTATTTATATATTAACTTTGTCCTTAATTTATCCTTATGAATAATAGCAATATCTTGTACTTTTTCTTACTTTCAACTTACCAATTAGACCAATTATTGCCATATAACTCAGCAGGAGCAAAATGCCTCAAATTCATCGCTCTTGGATTTGTTCTTGGCTGATTTTTTCTTTTTGATGCATCGCTTTTTAATTATTTACTTCAAAACAAAAAATATCTAATCTTGTCTTCAAAGGCTAACACTTTTTTGACTTTTATTTCCACTTTGGCTAATAATTCCGGAGGCAAAACACCAATTATATTTTCCGACAACCTCTTCTTGCTAACTGACTTAATTTGTTCGCACATAATTTTGCTTTCTTTATAATTAGCGATTACTTTTCCCACATATAAATCAAACGGGTAAATTTTATCTACTTTGGAACTCATAGGCAAAACTACCACCCGCGAACCCTTTTCATTTTGTCAATTATTAGAAATAACTACACCAGGGTGAGGATCGCGAATTTCAGTGCCGACAGTTTTGCCAAATCTTACCCAGTAAATATCACCTCGTCTAATTGACTCTTTTTGCTTATTCATCCTCCAAATTTTCCCAGGCTTCGGCTTCTTTTTCCCGTTCTTTATCTTGGGCGGCTAATTCATAACCTTTTTTTCACTCCTCTTCCTCTTTTAATAAATAACTCCGCATCAAAATAATTATTTCTTCTTCGGTTATTTCTTCATTTTCTACCCGATATTTTAATTCTCGTAAAAATTCTTGCTTATTAACTTGTCTTAATTCTGTCATATGTATATTTATTTTTACATTAGTAGAATTTTACCCAACCCTTTTCCTCACTTTCAACTTTCTAGTCAGACCAATTATTACGAGAAATTTATATGTGGAATTATTTTTAAAAGATTATCCTTCAATTATTCACAGTTTAGGGAGTTTAAATAGTAATAAACATCTGGTTTATCAGGAGAGGAATTTAGAGCAAAAAATCCTGTAATCTTTCTTTTAGTTTTCTTTCAATATAATTATCTAAATTAAGAACCATTACTAACTTTTCCTCAATTTCATTCATCTCCTTTTTGGTTAATTCGCCTAACTTCTTTACAAATCGCTCAATGGTAATTGCTCTTACTTGCTCGCATTTAGCCTTACCGGGCTTCCCTTGGAAAAAAGTAGGAACTTGGAAAGGATAAATTTTTCTTACTTTACTGGAAAGCGGAACAATTACAATTACATTCTTTTTGGCGTTTTGCTGATTATACTACTACGGCTAAACGCATGTTATCCTCGTTCCCTTTTTGTTCGTAACCTTGGGCGTCAATTATTTCTACCTCGTAAACCTCACCCCGACGAGGATTTAATTCGGCAATTTTTTCGGCTGTTTTCTAGCATTTTTTTATACTCATCGGATTTAGTTTGGTGAGTTTTACTTTGTTGACGATAATAATGATTTTTTAGGGTTAGATAACCTTCTATTTGCTTGTTTAACCAAAGTTCAAAAGTTTTTACTCGTTGTAGTTGCCATTCAATATCTTCCAAAGTTATTTCTTGATTTTTCTCTAACTTTTTTTTAGTTTCTAGATTAAAGAAAATTTCATTAGATAGTTTAACAAATTGTGTTAATGCCCCCCTCACTAATTCTTTACCTGCCTTTTTAGGATCAGGATTTAAGTCATTTCTTCCTAATTGTTGCTCCAAATATTCTTCAATTTTTTGCTTAAAATTAGTAGCAATATTAATCCCTATTTTGGTTTTCAGCAAATTAAGTTCTTGACTAATTTTTTTCTCGAAATTGGTCCATAATATTTAATTTTGCATTTTTTTTATTTATTTTGAAAAAGATAATAAACCAAGCAGTCCTCTAATTAATGAATGCTAATCTTTTTCCTCACTCTTAACTTACCAATTAGACCAATTATTGCCATATAACTCAGCAGGAGCAAAATGCCTCAAATTCATCGCTCTTGGATTTGTTCTTGGCTGATTTTTTCTTTTTGGCGAATTACTTTTTTTAATTCAGAAGCATTTTTGCCGAATTTAGTTTGGATTAGATTATTCCTTATCTCAGCCACAGCAACCAAAGTAGTTGCTTGATTAATTTTCTTTCTTACAACGTCCGAAACATTAATACTTAACCGCTCACAAGTCTGGTGAGTTTCGGTTTTTGCTCAAACGAGTATTTTTTGATATTCTTTTTGTTGGATAGCCGAAAAATCAGGGTCTTTTTTGTCTTTTTGTAATAATCTAATAACTTTTTGGGCCTGGTCTAATTCTTTTTGTAATTGCTGATTGGTTGTTTTTGGGCCTCTAATTAATTCCTCAATTCGGCTAATTATTTTTTGAATGGTTAATTCTTCAACTTCTATTCCTAATTCTAATGAATCATTAATTTTCTCTAAAATATCTTTCTCCTGTCTGGCTAATTTCTTTTGTAATCGCTCATAATCACCCAAGCAACATGGTTCTTGGCAATTAATAATTTGACACCATTGTTGGTGAGTATCTAATTTCTTTTGTAAATTGTCTCGCTCTTGTTGATATCTGTCCCTTTGGTTCTTAATGTTATCGTAATCTGCCTGGGTCGGACGACCTTTTAATCCGGCTAACACATTCTTTCAATCATTAACATTAGTAATATTAAATTCGGTTCGTAAGCCATTTTCGTAATTATCGGCTCGTAATTTTTCTGCATCCGCTCGGGTTTTTTCAATTTGCCAATTAGTATTAACTGTGGCAAAATCAGCAATCAATTGCCTTAATGACCTATTTTGCAGCATATTTGGCAAATTATTTAAATTGCTCACCCCTAGATGAATTCGAGCCTGCTGGATAGTATTTTGAGCCTGAGTTAATTGTTGTCCTATATTATGGTTAATATTGGCTTCCTGTTGTCAATTAGTATAAAAGGTTTGACCGTTTTGATAAGCCCGATTTAATTTTTGGCGTTTGCTATTTAATTCCTGGTTTTGATAAGCACTTTTTCGCTCCTCTTTTTCTAATCTTCGTTGAACCTGACTTAAAC